TAAAGGATCAAAATGTGTTGAAGTAGGATACTCCCTGCATTAACTCAGAGCTGCCTCTATAGCCCTTGGGAATTTGGCTACATGCACAGTGAAAAATTCCTTTCTGACATTATGGGTCAGCTTTCTGACTGCCTTGTTAGCAGTGCAAAACATCTGGATCATGAGCCAGTGGTCTGGTCTCTGTAGCTCACCTGTACTACTTGCACACACCAGCTACCCTAAGTTTTCCTGCTCAAAGTTACGTGACACGGGCTTGTGGCACACCACTCAGTAAGACTGAAATTTATGTCATAAGCTGCTTCTTCTGATATCATGCCAGATCTTTCATGACTTCTGTTGGTCTAAGAAGTAGACACATAGCAGTGTTATTTCTCTTTTGGGTAAACATCACCTACTCATTAATGTTCATTCAAATACGGCAATTTAATAACACAAAATAATAAATTTTCTATAGCACCTTTCACTAATAATGGCAGAATTTAACAGTATGAATGGGGACGATCAGAGGGATTAAACTGTATCTCCAAAACAATCCAGTGTAATAGTCAGGAGCAAATCTTAGGTTTACTGAACAAATTCAGTCCACTGTTCTTTATTGGGCACACGCCTGCTCTGCTTCTTTTAATTTGTCCTTCGGTAACTTATTAGGGAGAAACCCCTCTTCCTACTCATGAATCACAAATAGAAGCTCATGATTTCAACAGATTTTATAACCTCTTTTCCCCCTCCTCAGTAGTGGTATAATGGGATTTCAATGGGATAGGATACTGCGATCTCCCCACTTCTGATAACTGAGCAGTTAGTTACTTTCACTGACCTGGACTGCATGAAACCAAACCAGTTCATCTGGAGGAGGAAGCACATCTGTTAATCATGATACCCCAAGTCTAACCAAAGCCCACTGTTTCTATAATAGGATGTTCAGTGAGGACTTTATTCAGTTTACACAGATAAATTACCTAATCTCTCCATTCTTAGCAATGATACAAGAATCATCTATTTCTGCAGACACTGCAAAGTCATCAGCACAGGAATTGCTTTTTATTAAGTTACTGTGCAAGTATGTTGTACAAAACCAGGCCAGTTTCAAGTTCTAGAATTGTTTCAGTCAGCAACTAGCCTCTTACATGTCTGTGTCTGTTGGATGTGCACATAAACCCTGGCACTTTGTGCTATTGCAGCATTTTGTGCTCATTGCGTCCTTTTCAGTATTTAAAGGGGGCCCGTAAGAAAGATGGGGACAAACTTGTTAGCAGGGCCTGTTACGACAGAACAAAGAACAACGATTTTAAATTAAAAGAGGATAGATTTAGACTATACTCATATCTAGACAAGGCATGAGGAAGAAATTTTTACAATGAAAATGGTGAAACATTGGCACAGGTTGCCCAGGCAGGTGGTTGATGCCTCATCCCTGAAAACATTCAAGGTCAGGTTGAGCAACTTGATCTAGTTGAAGATGCCTCTGCCCATGATTCTATGATTCTATTTCTTTCACGTGGCATAGTTTCACAAAGATACATTCAGGCACACTTGTGAAAACATACTTCTTTCAATTTTTTCACACCATTGATATCAGGCCTACTATTAATAAGGCTTCCACTTAATACATTTAAAATAAAAGCACCCAGAACCCAAAATCTACAGCAGGTCAGCACCATGAATCTTGTAGGATGGCCATGCATATGTTCTACAGAGAACTGTTTCTCTTTACTTTGTTTTCTGTCAGTGTGTCTTTAATTATTTGCAAAGAACTCAATTCTGCGTCTGTTATTTATGCAAACAGGCCTGTTTTATTTAGACAAAGTGTCCTTTCATGACTAAAGATACAGAGTTTCACTATTATATCTTGAGGAGAAATTCTACAACTTTTACTCCAATGGAACTTCTCTTACAATTCATGGGATGGCCAAGGGCTTTCCTTGTGTACTTCAAACAAGGATCTGAAACTATTTTAGCAAGTTTCCTATTAGTGGGACCCTGTAACCTTCAGTGAGGCTCTAAATAGAAAAGACTTATGGGTTTATTCCCGTTGACTTTTATTTTTATACAAACACTGTGTATTATCAGGCTACTATAAACACATACAAAAACCCCACTAGTTACACTTAAACCCTGACAGATGGACTAATATCAGGCTGCTGTCTGTACAATAAAATTACAAAACTATTCAGGGCCTGATCCAAGACCTTCCACTCACTTGACCAAGATATAAGGCTACAGGAATACTGGTAATGTAACTACCTGTACCACAGGAGCACCCTTCTCTAACTTTGCTGGTAACACGAGGTGTCTTCCACAACTGGAAAGTAATGCTAGTGAGTAGTAATGCTACTCTCTTGTATTCTTGCTTGAGGAAATAGTGAGCATTGTCTTACTGTAACTTTGGTTTTCCTTGTCTGTATTTGTTGTCATCATTTCTTTAAGCTCTTTAAGCTAAAGACTTAGCACTATGGTCATCAGAGTGTAGTTAAGGGAATAAAAAGTTTCTCATGTAGTGTCCATGTTCTTTGACTTAATATATTGTTTTAAACTGCCCTGCTACTGAAAGAGAATACTTGCCGTATTTGACCAAAACTTAGATTCATGCTCTTAGTTGTGTGGAATTTAAAAGAAAAAACACCAAACCTCAAACATAAAAAATGTACTATGAAGCTGTAACATAAGTAATTGGGTCAAATCAATCTGAGTAAGAACTGGAAGGTCTTTGGAATGATTTGGAAGTGGGGCATTTTGACCATTTCTTAAATGTTTTAATTCTTCATCTCTCACTGTGGCAAATATTTTTTATATCATGCCTATTACTATGACATCAAAGTTCTTCAGAAATTTAGTATCAAAATATGAGTATTACTGGTACCCCATTGGTTTCACATGAAACGAATTTATACCAATTCTGAATTTTCTCTCACACTACAGTAACTCCAAAAGTGAGATATCTTGTTCCTTCTGTCACAGAATATTTACTACCTTCAAGAGAAAGTTAGAGAAATACAGGTTTGAAGGTCAAACTAGTATCATACGACTTTGCTAAATATAGATGCTTGACAAGTGAAAGAGCTTCAAAGGTCTTGGCATATTTTGCTTGGTGCACTTCTACATCTGCACATATGCAAATTACTTCTCTCAGTATATATCAGAAATATGAAATTTATTAAAATAGAAAATATCTAGGCATGAGTTACAAATGTATCTCTTCTCATTTTCTTAAGGTAGAAGGGCAGCAGGATATGCCTAATCTGCAATATTTTCACTCTCATTTCACAAATCTGTCACTGATGGGTACTCCAAGGAGACGAAGCACAGCATTTTAATATTCTTCTAACTTGTATGCAGCATTGAAATGAATCTGTCATCATTTAAAAAATCCTTCTCCATTGCAGCATTGCACAAAGACAAGTATGATTAAACAACAAAAATGTGCTAAGAGTGAACTGACATAGAAGAGTAATGTTTAAAGAGCTCTTCTCACCTATTTTCCCTGTCTAAAAATGATTTCCATTGAAAAAAAATGGTTTCGAAAGGAACTGTCTATGCTTGTACGTTTCCCATTGCAATCCCGTCCTGGGATCCTGGGACCTATAATGCAATATGTGCTGTCAGGACTATGACAGTTTACAGATGTGCAGCCAGACTTCTTGCTATTTATAGATGCCTCTTCTGCAAACAGTACTCCATGGGGTTGTAGCGCAGTAACAGGCATGTTCTTTGACTAAGTGCTTACATCATATTCATTTAAGAAAATTTGGCTCTTCACCTGGCATGGCAGAGGAGGCATATTTATGAAGGTCAGGCAGAGAGAACATTATTGCAAAGAGAAATGTGGAATTCATGAGCGAGCAGGACACCTACTGGGAGGACTAACTGAAAGGAGGAGACATTTGGCAGAGATGTTGAAATAATAAAGGATGGAATAGTTACGTGTTCGTTCACTCACACTGAAGCGATGCTTTTGCTCTTTATTACCCCTGCAGGGCAGCTGGGGAGAAGGTTCAGTGCCATCCGTGTGTGTAAGGGCAACATTGTAAAGTTGGTTGGGGTACAATGTCCTTGGGGTCTGAGCATGGCTGTGCTGCATCTCGCTTAACCATGTGTTAAGTGTTCAGTCAGAGTGCTAGGCATGGTTTATTAATAGAAACAGGGAGTTTGGCACACGCTCACACTTTCGCCTGTCTCCTTCTCACATGCTCCCAGAGATGCTGGGACTGCATCCTGCATCCTTCTGCTTTTCCAGACCTGAGACTTCGCACACTGCTGTATCCCTTGAGAAGTCTCAATGAGGTCAAGATAGCCCCAGTAAACAAGGGCTGCTCAACCCAAATGTTGAGGAAACAGAAGGTAACGGGCGGGGGGGGTGGTGGGGGAGTAGATTCCTTGCAGAAAAACCTGAGAGCTCGCAGGGTACCCTCCCGGCCTGAAGGCAATGCAAAGCTATTTTCGGCACTGCCCAGGCCAGCCGGACAGCCCCCGCCCCGGGCAGCTCCGCTTGGTAATATCTAGGATGCTGCAGACACGAATGCTGCTAAAGACCCCCCAGACGATCCTTGCCAAGGCTGCCGGCGGAGAGCACGGGGAGCTGGCCAAGGTGCTGCCGCAAGAGACAGTCTGTCCCTTTCGGCCTCCTCAGACACGCGAATTACCGCCGCTCACACCCCCCGCTGACTCCCCCAGACCCCTCAACCCCGCAGAGCCTCCCCTCCGCCCGGCCACCCAGCTTCCCGGGGATCCAGCCGTGGAGCGGCGGCCCCGAGCAGCCCGAGCGCCCGGAGCGCTCGGCGGGGTGCAAACTTCTCTGTCTACTGGGAACGGGGGGAACGGGGGGCAGTGTGTGTGTGCGGGGGACAGAGGGGGGCAAATGCAGGAAACTATAGCAGCAAGGCAGGCCGGAGCTGGACAGAGGGGCCGGGAAAGTTCTTCTGCACTTATTGCTGCTTCTGCTAAGGGAGCAGCACTGGGGTCTGGGGGGAGCGCGGGCGCCGGGCTCCGGCTCGCATCCTTACCTCGGTGCTGTCAGCAGCGTTCTCCGCCATTTTCCTCCTTAGGAGCAGGCAGCGGGAGGAGTGTTTCATTCCCATAAGAGCTAGCCAAGGGGTTGGGGCTTCGGGGCTGGTGTTTAGATTTGTGTTTTCAAAGATCTCCAAACACTGGTGTGCGCCAAAGGACAGGGAGAAGAAAAAAAAAAATACGGAAAACAGCAATAAATCAGTCAGCTTTGTCCTTTCTGCGTCGTCCACAGGAATGTTTGTCTCCTCTTAGCATCGGGAGCTCCTCGGGCACTTTCAAGTCCTCCTCTTTCTCCCCTCTCCTCCACCTCCAGCGAGTTCTTGGGGTGGGCAGAGAGAGGCGGCACACACTCTTCAGGTTACACTATAAGGCTGTCGGGCTATGAGTCCTCCCCTTCAGTAAAAGCAGTCAGGCTAAACAGGAGAGAAGCACCAGCTAAACTGAACTTGGGCGTGCAGTGACCAGCTGGGCATCTTTGTGTCCTGTGGCTACTCTTCCAGAGGCAGAGGGAGCCAGAGACAAAGCAACAGGACAAGGAAATCATAGCCCTTTATTTTCCTTCTTTGGGCTTCTTTCTTTCTATGTCCCAAGACACTTCCTTTAAAGATGGTCACAGAATTTGCCACCCTCTTTCTATGAATGTCTTCTGAAATAGAAATCCTTCTCCTCCTCCTTCTCCCTCCCTCCTCCCCCCCCTCCCGTTCCCTCTCCCCTCTCTTCTCCCCTTCCCTCTCCCTACCCCTTCTGCTGTTGGGCAGAGCTTGGTGCCCTTCGCTGGGAATTGCACTCACGTGTCTTTCGTAGAAAAAAAATATTATTTCAAGCTCCCCCCACCCATCGCCTACACCCTCTCACACACAAGCACGCATTCACACGTACACACACACACACACACACGTTGTCTCCCTCTCACAGACATGCACGATTTTTTTTTTCTTCCCCATCCCTCCTCTTCTTTTGAATCAGCAACACTTTTCTTTGCAAGGACTCTCGGCAAGGCTCTTAGAGAGCAACCGAAGAAGTCTGCTCCAGCTTCTTTCCTCCGAGTTAAGTAGCAAACCTGCTTTCTTAATATATCTTCTCGTGTGTGTGCTCCCAGCTCCTGTTTTATTTGAAGTTTTTCAGGAGGATCCACACTCCGTCAGATAGCCGTGAACTGTAGAAATATAGTCCCGATCCGGCTGCAGCTCCTGCTGAAAAGGGGGGAGGAGGAGCAGGGGGAGGAGGGGGAAAGAGGCGGAGGGAGAGGTCTTGCTGGGGCGGGAAGGGAAGAGGCTAAAGGTGATTTGAACTTGTTTTTAGCCTTTTCCTAATGACATCTTCCTCCGTAGGAGTGCATCGCCACCTTCCCCACACGTTTATTTTGCTCTCACTCCTCCGGGCACTTTCTAGTTCTGAGTTGTCAGCTCGGAGGATTGGGTTTACCTCACTCGTGTTGCTGTGGGTAAGGGCGGGAGAGGGGGCGTATTACATAATTAATCCTTCCAACTTCACTTTCCGCAGCTCTATCTCCAACCCACTGTTCTCACGTTTCTGTTTTGTTTTTATATGGAGGAGGTGACAAAATAATGCTGGTGTGTGGGTTTGTGTTGCTCGAAGGATTTCAAGGACCAGAACAGGATTGCTGCTCTCTGAGCAGTTTGAAATTATTTCCTCTGGGGGTGCCAATGGAGACCTGAAGAAGAGGTTTGAAAAATTACTTCTGATGCATATTTTAAGGACATAGCCAGCTCAGATGCTTCATCAGTAACAGATTATGATAGATCTGGGGTTTTGAATTTTGGTCCCTTGCAGCCTATTTTAATATCTTTCAATTAGAGTTTGTCCTCGGCTGACCTCTGGAATACTGACATACCATGAAGTACTGCCAAAAAAACAGGAGGTCTCTGGGCACACAGGAGGCAGAAATATTCCTGGGGGTGGGGTAATGAAAATAGAGAATGTGAATTAGAGAGTAGAGAGCAAAACTATTCTCCTGACCCATGGTAATGAGGAGGTGGGGCCAAGAAAATTAAACAAACAAACTTCTCGCTTTTACTTGAATGACCCTCACAAATTCTTGCTCAGACACAGATCAGTAGGTATGCAATAGATTCAGGAGTTTGTAAGAGATCGCCAAAAAGTAAGAAACCTGGGGAAGCAGAAGGTGTGTGGTATGCTGAAATGTCAAGTGACAATGACAGTATGCCATGTAGGGCACAATGGTACCATATGAAACGATTTCGGAATATGAGAGTATGTTATAGACATGCATGCCATACAGCTTGAGACTGGACCTCTGTGAGATACTTTGCAGAGCCGTTTGATCGTTCAGTTTTTCACAAGCTTCTGATTTCCCCCTATTCCTTTCAGCTCACATATATTTTAACATCTTGGGTTCTTTCATTAGCTCCATAGCACTGCTAATTTTTTCAATGATCACCCTCACCTCCTTTGTTTATATAGTAGAATTTAATTTCACACCTTCCAGGTGTGATGCTCAAATAACGACAGAAGTGGAAGCAGGACATCTCCCCTTTTCTTTGGGACATTCACAGAGCTCTCAAGGGTCTTAAAACCCTTCAAACATGAAAACCCTTATAGTTATTGCAGAATATTCTAAAGCTACCCTCAAAGTCTTGGGCTATGGACATCTTTCTCATCAAGTTCTTCAATTTCTAGGTGGAGGGATAAGGGAATAATAATCTGCAGTTTAAATTTTAATGTCTCTGCAATCTTTGTCACAATGTTTTTCGCTGCTATGTCGTGAGTATCTGGTGGTTAGTGAGAGCATGGATTTTTAGTCAACATGCATTTGGACTAACCTGCACAGTTTTAGTGCGTCTTTTCTATTTTCAGGTGATATACACAGCTTAACTTAGCCTAATTCAATATTTTAAAATAAACTGGTGTTCTATATAGAGATAAAGAATTAGATTTTTGCAAAACTACTCCATAACATATTTTCCAGTTTTCTCTGACAGCTGGGTTTGTATTTCTGGTACAGCTCAATCACTCTTTAGTCAGCTAAATGAGGCATCAGATTTTCAAAAGCACTCGGCAACCAGCAAAACTCGCAGGCAGAGATTTAATATATCCTTCCCTCTTCTGCTTCAGATACTGCATGAATTACTCTGGCACCTATTCTTGTCCTCCTCCACCTCTTTGTCAACACAGATGATACCTGACTGCTCATCCTTGAACGTGGTGCTGATGTTTTACAGATACTAGGAAAACCTTCCGGTCTTATAGTTTCCATCATGAGGATGAATGTTTTGGTCCTGAACTCCCTTGGGAATCTGCCAGATGGTTGGCGTCTTCACTCCTTTTATGTTCTATATGTGACTGAGGAAACTACTTTGAAAACACACACCATTTGCTCTAATCTTCTTTCTTCCAAAGGGAAAATGGTTTGTCCTACTGGATTTTATTTATTTATTTTTTTTTTTTAAGTCAGCCATCAGTTAAGTTATTCCTTGTAATATCTTTTAAGATACTCAAAGCAATTTGTTCACACATAGAGATATCTGTGTGCACACAGATACTTGGCCAGTCCTTCAGTTTGAATATGAGTCTCAGTGCAAGTTCCTGTTGATACTGAAATTCACAGCAGCACTGAACCTGTGAGCTTACATACTGTTTAGCAGACAAATTCCACTCTCACCATGTGAATGCAAATGTGAATGTGTTTGTAACAAAGCCAGATGTCAAAAGCATCTTCTGAGTTTAAATATATCATGTATAAGTACATGTGAAGGTCACAAAGTATTAGAAATTGAGTGGAGCGGTGCTAAAGGGAAAATGGAAAGGGAAGTATTTATTACTTCAGACATCTGAGTAATAGCAGCTGTGGTTGAGGCTGCTGTGCTACTTGCTGAGTGTGGCAATAATACTGTGCTGGCCCTCAGAAGATCCAGACTCATTGCCAGCTTTGTCATTAGCTTGGATGAAATCCAAATGTCTGCATTTGAGGTGGGGTAATCCTGTGCATGGGTACAGACTGAGAAATTGCATAGCAGTCCTGATGGAAAGCATCCGGGGGTTATGGGGTGGAGGTGTAGCCAGGCTGAATATGACTCATCATGCTTTCTCACTGCATGAAAGGCAAACTGTATAATTATCCACATTAGATGGAAAGTGGCCATTTGAATGAGGGAAGCATGATTCTCTCTCTGTTTGGTGCTGGTGACACTGCATCTTTGATTCTACATCCACAGCTGGGTCCCCTGATTCAAGAGGGAGGTTGACACACTGGAGATTGTTCAGTGAAAGACCACTACAGTGGTCTCTTAGGTCACTAACCTCTGAGGAGAGTTGGGTGTGTCAGGTTTGGAGAAGAATAGGTCGAGACACCCAGTAGTGGCTTATGACTAGCCTTAAGGATTGTAACTAAGATGATCCAAACTCCTCTAAGTACCATCAGGTCATTTGAAAAAGAGCAGCAGCTACAAGTTGTGGCTCTGGAAGTTCAGATTCAGTATTACCCAAAGAGTGTTCATCCACATAAAAACGCCTTTTCTTCATGCCTTATGAAGAAAAGGTTTTTTTGTTTTATTTTGCTTGTTTGGTTGGTCAGTTTTGGGGTTTTTTTGGTTATTTTGGTTTTGTTTTGGTTTGTTCTGTTTTGTGTTTGGGGTTCTTTTGTGTGTGTTTTTTTTTGTTTGTTTGGCTTTTTTGCAATTGAACGTATGAGCTTGAGTATAACAGCAGTGAAATAGGTGATCTGCTAAAGATATAGCTAAGGACAGGCATGAACAGAAGAACCTTTTTTTCCTTTGATGAAAACTTTCTCCCCAAAATATTTTTTCGGGGAAGAAGATGGAATGCAGTTTCTGCTGTGATGATTCTAATTGAAGTAGGTAAGAGTTATTTCAAACACTGACAATCTGGCATAATTTCAAGTAGGAGGCAATAGCAGTGATCCAGTTGAACAATGGACAGAAAATAAAAGGAAGAATAAGGAGAGTAAAAGAAAATATCAATAAGGAAGGAAGTTGGAAGACTAGCAGAAGAAGACCAGCAGAGAACAAGAAAAACTGTGTAGCAAGGTTTTGCATAGAGAAGCATAAGGTAGCCATGGAAGGCAAAGAAAAGCAAACATGAAATGCTGAAGACAGGAGAAGGTTAAATAGAATATCACTTTGTGTCACAGGTCATATTGCCTGGATCAGTGTTAAACTGTTGCATTTATTACACTGCAATGTTCTGTCATATAAAACAGTGTCCTTTCACTGGGTATTCCAAACCCTCCTGTCGTCCTCATTTCTGTAGCATTGGCCAGCTCTTCCCCAGTTCACAGGTCATAAGGAAGATTAATCCAGGAAATTTCATCTGTTTTAATAATTTGCACCTTGATGAAAGGAAGAAGACAGGAGCAGCATGGAAAAGACTTCTCCCGTTCTGTTTGACCTCAGACTTCAGCAGAAAAACCTGTCATGTGCTTTTGTTCTTTGTTTGTTTAGAAAAGTGGGGAATGGCTTTAGACAGAGACTAGGAGCAACTCTTGGGCTATAAATCTGCTTCCTAGTTGAATGAGAAAACATTGTAGAAAAAAAAATCTATTCTTACTCCAATATCCTCACCAAATTTTGTTTGTTGTCGGATCAAAGGAAGATATTTGGAAGGATCCTTTTGTAGCATCACTTTCCATTGTTCTTTATTGCTCAGGAAGTCCTAATGATTTCCTTTGCCTCAAACCATATGTTTGGCAATCTTTTCAATCTCTTAATACATCTTCTATTCCTACTATGCCTCTCAAAGTTGTTAGCAAAGTTGTTAGCCGTTCAAATATTTCTCTTATTCCTGCAATTTGCCCATGTTAATTCAGAAGATTTTGAAGTGAATTGTAAATTGACACTAGTGGATTTAAAGATCTTATTTTATTTATGCTGTTCCTTCATGGTCATTAAGATTTCCTCAGTAACTTTTTTTTCCTTGTGTATTATCTTCTTATCCTTCTTCATGAACACTCCATATTCCAGCCTTTTCCTGGGAGTCATTGCAATTTTAAAGCATTGGTCCTAGGTTTGAGTGAGGAAGGGTCTATCAGAAGCTAAAATGATCTGAGATACCCACTTCCACAAGCCAAGAATATATGTCCAGGGCTCAGATAATTTAGGGTTAAATTATAGACACCTTGTCATGAATGAACCTTTATCCATGCTTACAAGTAATGAAACAGCAGGGAACTATCTCTGCAAAGATTCATCACCAGAATTTCAATTTTTTTCTCTAAGGTTGTAGACTTTGTTTTATTTAACAACAGAAGATCCATTTTGCAAACTGAAAACTTAATCTAAATTTAACCAAAATGCTCCTTCCATTTTTTTTTTCGTTGTGAGTGCTAAATTCTAAAAAAGTTGAAACTAGGTCAGTTGGAAGAAAGTCCTATTCTGACAACTTCTATAAAGGTCACCAAAGTGGGTCTCCAGTCCTCTGTGGATTAGAGGAGCTAAGCAGGCCATTGAGAATTGTGATTACTACAATGGCAGAGATAAATGGACATAAGTATCATGAAAGATTATATGCTGACCTCATTCAGTTCTCACTCAACCTTTTGAACAATTACAAATCATGCACTCGGAACAGATAACAAAATACTTCTGAAATTTGATGTCAAAGTTATCCTAAAATTAAGAGGTCCCTAAGAAATGTCATGCAAAACTTCTTCCCTTGTAAGAAAAAACATGGATATACAGGAGTGAGTTCACTGAAAGGGACGCAACAGTTATTAAGTAACCAGGGAGCTCTCTCGTATGAAGACAGGTTGGGAGTGCTTGAAGAGGGAGGGTGTAAAGAAGATGAAGCTAGACTCTTCTCAGTGCTACCCAGAAAAAGAATAAGGGGAAATGGGCACAAACTGAAGTACAGGACACCAAAAAAAAAAAAAATCCTTTTTTTGCTAAGAAGGCATCCAAAGACATTTTGGAGTCTTCTTGCTTAGACATATTAAAAACCCAGCTATAAATAGCCCCAAGCAACTTGCTGCAGTTGATTATCCTGAGTGGGGATTGGACTACATGATTTCCTGATGTCTTTTCTAACTTCAACAATTCTGTGGTTCTGTGTTATTCTGGAAGACCTATGAAAATCACATGGATGACTCTGACAGATCTGGGCAATAGGCATCTGTCTTCTTGCTTTCTCTTCCATTCTTATGAAGCCTTGAAAAGATTATACATGAATAGTCTTACACTAAGGTGATTTCATAAGTGCAGCCAATAATTTCACAGAAAAAAATAAGCTGAGAGAAGTGACAGACTGTTGTTTGCATTCTATTCTTAAGTGCTCATAGGAGACAGAAGATGTGTAATGTTGTTTGAAAAGCTAAACCTCATTATAATGCCATTACCCATAAGCTATCACTGGGTACAGGATGTTGGTTCTGGGCACACAGCTTATCAGAAAGAAAGTGGAGTAATATTCTCAGAATCATGAATCCTTCTTTACTGAAAAGAAATGCGAATCACTAGCTTCCATCCTGTCTTGTCACTTTCTGTTCTTGTGTGATAGCTTTAAGAAACTTTCCTATCTGAGAAAAACTACCTTCTGCCTTATATTGTTTTCTGGAATCTGAGGTGAAATTTCTACACTTCGAAACCCTTTTCTTTTTCATCTGCTCTGCTTTTCTTTACTGGATTATAGCATGCTTAGCAAGTCTGAGGTGAAGATATGTAAAAATGTCACTATTCATTCAAACAAGAGGTTTTCTTGCTTTCAAAATATCAAATCTTAGCTGATCCTTTACTTCTCAGGATACAACCTGTGCTTAAACTTCTGAATTGCTATGTTACATGGGGTTAGAGGAATTTATCTGGACTGCAGATGAAGTTGTAACAATTGAAATTACACCCCTTTTTTTTTTCTTTGCCCAATAGTAGGCATTCTGTCATCTTGGTTTCTGTCACTTTCTGTTTTTCAGAAAATGGTAGAGGCATTTATTTGCCTTCTTTAGTAATACACATAATACTTTGGGAGCGCTCCCGTAAAGCATTTTAACTGGAAGAGCTAAGAAAATCACTTAGATGTCTCTGTCAAGTCTGGCAAATAGCTGTCTGTCTTCTTGGTTTCCCTTCCGTAACTGTCTTAGGGAGTAAGTAATTCTGCTACGAGTCTCACGTTTTCCTGTAGTGAGCAATTTTCTTCAAACACATGCACATGTGTTCAGCCGTCACTGTCGACAAGCAACCAACTGTAACTATGATAGTGGGTTGGCATTTTTTTCTTCCCAGTTTGGTATTTTCCTTTCTCTTCCATTAAGGAAAATTGCCAAAATGCTGCTGACTCCTTCTAAAACATAAAAAAAAAAGAAATTCTGATCAGTATTGTGTGTATTTCAGGAGCTGAGAACAATGTAGTTCATTTTCTAGAACTGTCTAGAACTCAGTAAAATTGAGGTCATCATACCTCTTTAGAATGTTTCTTGATGATGGTCCCAAATAAATTAAATACATTCAGGCTTTGGCCAGGTTATAGCATGGAGTCAGCACTCTGAGGTGCCTAAGATGATGATTTTTCTGGCTGCAAGTAGAGCTCAGCCTCCTGGGTTATTGATCTGGTAGTGGACTTTGGCAACTGCTGTGGTTCTTGGCAGAATCTAGAGATTCTGTTAGTTCATCTGGGGTCTCTGCCGGAGAGATCAACTTATTTATACTAAACTCTCCATAATAGGTATAATTGTGTGACCTATGGGTGTTAATGGTGCCCATCTTCTCTCTTTCTTCACACTTGATAAAATAGAAGGTGGTATAAACAAAAGAGCCAATATTGAGAATTACGTGAACTTTATATGTCATGTACTTCAAGGAAGAAAACATTTTGTGAGCAGTACACAATAGTTTTGCTCGTAGAGTTCAGAAACCTGCTTGATGTAACAAAAAACCTCTGGAAATACAGATGTATTTGGCATCATTTTTTAAGGTAGAGAAGTCAGTGTAGCAGAGTTGTTCACAGTTTCAGTGGTGGTGAGAGCTTGTTCTGAGAAGGAAAGCAGAGCTAGAGCATAGCTAATACTACTAAAGGTGAGGTAAATCTTCCTTAAGGAAAGACTTTCTGATGCTAGTGATTTTTGTTACAGAAGTGGCCTAGAGGAGCCCATCAAACTTGAAACCCCATTTTTCTAGGTATTGCCCTTCAGATCCTGCTTTGATATTTTGCCACTAAGTTGATGAAAGCAAAGCATTATTTCCCCGATTCTTGCTTTACACTTGTGCTGTGGAGCTCAAGTGAATTACATGAAACATAAAACATATTCCAGGATGGCTGGGCCAGAGCCAGTTTTCAGGTCTATTTCAGAAGCTGACAGGATCTTTCTGTCTGTAAACCTAAGAACTGGCATGCTGGAAAAAACTTGAAATGAAATTCAAGCTGCTCGATCAAAATAGTACATAATTAAAATGGAGGATTTAGAAAAAAAAATGCAGAATTAAAACTCTTCTTGTGACTAAGCTAATTTGTGTGTTCCATTCCTTTTCATTAGGAACACTACCTACTTCAGTGTGGAAACAACAATAATAGAATGGATGGGTTTAACAAGAAGGGTAAGCCACTGCAACTCCAAATGAAAATATTCTAATCTTTAGTGTATGAGGTTTGCAAAATATGTCATTTCTTAATGACAGAAAAAAATAAAAGAAAGTGGCACATTTTCTCCCTTGCACTTAGTATGTTCTGGAAATAAATAAAGATTGTGATTTATGGGTAGTAAATCCATACGTGTACAGCTTTCAAAGAATTACCAGCTTGGTGAGGAGGGAAAAGGAAACTACAGCAATCTAAACCACAGAAGATTTATATTATAAGCAAATTTAAGGCATTTTTTTAAAATGGCATCTGAGAGGTCATGCTCATTTTTGTAAGAGTATGAGCTCAGGAGGAATCTGAGCTGTTCTGTCTTTTGCTGTCAGGATAAATAAAAAAATAAACACCAATAACCTTATCACAATGAATCCTATAATGATCCCTGCAGGGTCAAACAGGAGCATAAACCTTGAAGAACATTTTTAATGGAAAAACATATTGAAGTTTTTAATGCCTATGTCAGAAATACATACATGGTGCATTTTGAGGTGTGGATAAGTAGCTAGCTGATGGTGGTACATGTCTTGTGTTGTGCATGCCTTGTGTTGTACATGTTAAGAGAGAATATAAAAGTCTCCCTCAGTGCAAAGTATTATTTAAAGCACTTCTTATATGTGACACAAGAATGGCAGAGACCACCTGGATTATCATTTCAGGTAGGGTATTGGGACATCATCAGGTATTACAGTGATATTTGTAATATCATTGTATCATATTAGTGGTATTATCATGCAAACACCTATAGAATGCAAATTTATATTATACTAATCATTCCATGCACTGCAAACCAAACATTTCATTATCCAGTACAACCTTAAAATTTGGAATAATGAAGAGGAAGAAGTCCTCAAACTGTGATTTGCAAAAGGAAGAGAACTAAAAAGACTGAGGGCATTGTCAAGTAGAGAGCATTGTCAGATACAGTAACCTAGTCATGGTTATTCCCTAGAGCTGAATGTACTTCATATATTTTTAGATTAGACTATTTTAAAATTATTTTGTCTCTCTGAGTGATTATTTTGCCTCTCTGTTATATCTAATAGCTGTTTTATCATCAGTACAAATATAGAAGGGAAAGACACAAAAATGCAAGCATCTGAAAACACACCAAAAGAAAAACAGTCTTGAATGCCTCTTGTGCCAAAGAATTGTGGATTTTAGGTTTTAATTGTGGTATAAGATTGAGCTTTGCATTTGACGTACAGTTTGTGACCACTGTAGAAGCCTTTGAAAACTGTAATTGTACTAATAAGAATATTCCAACGTGGCTTGTTGCTGTGCTCTCAAGCCTGGTCATCCTAACCTCTGAGCCATTAGCTCCATGTGTACTCAGAGCTATTTTAAAATATGGTTGTTAAAGACTGACAGTTCTGTATACATAGCGATAATGATTAGCATAGTATAAGTACAGATGATTAGTATAGTGTAAGTACCGACTCTTACCTAGAAGTGTGTTGCTGGTGGATGAAATTAGAAAAAAATTAGGTTTTCAGTTTAAAACTGGCCTGTTTTCTCAGTTTTCTAAGCACTGTCATTCCATCAATCTCTAATTCCCTAAGTGATATATAATACCTCAATACACTGATTTGTGACAGGTTACAGTCACAGTGTAGCTGTGTAAGCTGGCTGTGCCAGTGTGCATACTCAGCACAGTCACTAATTCTCTGGGTGGCTGAGGAACTCCACAGATAGATTCTGCTGACTGAGACAACTCATTTGAGACAATGGATTGACACAATATGAGGTGGTTGACCGAACTCCTAGTTGCCTTCACAACAAAGTATTTGACAAACCACTGCAGAAACTCTCCAAGTGGGAATTTCAGATAGTCCTAGAGGTTTCCCCAGGTTTCCAGAGGTTTCCCTGCTGTGTATAAGCTAATTGGCACTGTTATCTCAGAGGTGCTTCCATGTAGTTGGTGCTGCAGAATTGACCAAACTGTGTACAGATACTTGTAACTAGTCTTTAGAACTGTTCTTGCAGTTACAGAAATGCTCAAACAAAACACTTCAAAACAAGACATCTAGGCTACATTTACACAAATAGGACTGTGAACCAGCTGTGTTATAAGAATCCAGCAGACCAGCAGTTCAGTGAGTCTCATTTCATTCAGCTGAAGATGCTTTTGCAAAAAACTTTTGCAATGAAGACTGACAGTATCACTGTCCAAATACAGCTGACCAACCTGTTTGATTGATTTCCTATATGAGTTTTATCTTGTGCTAAAGATCCATATAAATATTATTTTTTTTAACAAACAATATGTATTACGAGTGTCTGCGCACCCATTCTAGTGTACATTACCCCCAATGGAATGTTCAGAATGGGGAACTGACAGAGGGAGAATGTGTGGGGCCAAAACATCATGAGAAATGAGGACTTGGCCCAGAAGCAAACTTTCTTACAAGGAGGTAAATCCCTACTCAGCTGAGATGACTAGAATAAATAGACTGGTGTTGAAGGCCCAGAGTTTGACATTTGGTATACTGCTATAAGGTTGTTAGGGATGTAACTTTTATTAGTTAAAGTGCACTTAGGTATTATGAAACACATGTAACTGGCAGAAATAACAGAACTTAACTATTCAAGGATATCTGTCTGTCAACCCACTACACTGATCAGTGTAGAGCACCTCGGAGAAGTCCATCAATAATCAGGTTAAAAATCCAGAATTTTCTCATCCTGAGGGGGAAAACTCTACCTTCTGGAGTATATAACCCTGGAGCCACCTCCAGGGACACCTGGGACCAAGCTCACATGGCCGGAACAGATACTCTTAACAACCTACTCCTCCAGAACACTGATAGTCAGCTGCTGTTCTTGTAATCAAGAAAAGAGGAAACTGAAATAAGCACTGCTCTGTAACACTGTAGTGTTTTATGCATTAGTAACCACTCTTTCACGAAGGCAATAAATACCAAACTCCTTCATGTGGATCCAATTATTGCATAATAATTTAAGAATGCTTTAGTCTGTCCTCATTTAAAGTGCAATAAATTTCCATGCTCTGTGTTCTGGGGTAGTGACAAGTTGGGATTTTTTTGTTTTGTTTTTGCAAAATGTGCAAACTTTTTGACATAGCTCCATACTGGTTTTTTTTACAGAAGGCCTGTTTTCCAGAAAGACGAGCAATTACTTCCATTGTGAAACCTACTTCAACATCACAAGGATCACCTTAAGAGTGCATGTCAGAGTGGAACAGTGGCACAAGAGATTATTAGAGGAACAGGAGATTTAATCCCTAGATCACAGAACCAGAAATTTGCTGAAGCTGGTAGTTATAGAAATAATTCTCTTCTAATGAGCATTTATGTGAAATAGTGTAAGAAAAGATTTGGTGAGCTCAAGACACAGCTCAACGTGACATTTTTCTCAACAGCAATGCTGGTTGCCTATTGTTGCATTTTTTGTTTGTTAGACCACTTGTCTGTGTGGATGCAGGTTGATCCAGACCAGAGCACTGACTAGAATTACAAAACCAATCTTTTTCCTTCTCTTGGGGGTGTGACATTGTTCTCTTGAAGGGTTTAGTTTTATTCCATTTCATTTACTAAACTCATTTACCACATAGTTGAAGAAAGAGCTGAACTAGCACAGTTTTGGGGCTGTTGCAGGGTAGATCCAAAAGGCAAGGTATAGGAATTTTGCCTTTAGTGCTGAGAGAAATGTAACCACTTCAATCCTGTGTTTATAGTGGAGGTAGTGACTCACTAATGCCTGTACCAGCAATTTTGGTGAAGTCTCTTCAGCTACTGGTACCACAGACAAATAGTCCCCTCCAACCTGTGATCTGATTCCAGTTACTGCTCTCAGGATTTCATGCCAGAACAGTGGGGCTAATGAGCCCCTTGGGGCAGCTACAGGACAGGGTGTCCCGTTCACAGAAGTCACCTGTAGGGAAGGCCTTTAGTGGATTGCTGGCTCTCCCTGCCAGAGGGGACAGAGGCTGCAGTGAGCACCCATTATACTTGACTAAGACTTTCATGCTGGAATAAGTCCACACATTATCACAGTCAGTACTGGTTTTATTTACCACTGATCTTGTATGATTAACTGTAGTAATCACTTACTGAATCTGCAACTTACAGTATCTTGAAGGGATCAAGGGCTGGAATGTAGTGATCCCAGCTGAAACGACATTGAGCTTCCAGGCTGGGCATGGAGGCAGCACAGCCTCAAGAGAAATGGAGCATGATGCTGGCCCGCCGGGCACAGCAGCTGTGGGGGTCTGGTGAACCACACCAGCATGCTCAGCTCCAGAGGAGGGGTGACCTCAAGGGAAATGGGGCACCACAACATACCCTGAAGACAAGGCATTCTTAAAGGGAACTAGCCCACCTGCCAGACCAAGGAGACAGGGCAGCTTCTCCAGAGCCAAATTGATCAGGTAGCCTTGAGATGAACAGACTTCCATGTGGAACTCCAGAAACAGAGCAACCTGGAGGGAAGCAGGCCTCCTTGCTAGACTCTGGAGGTGGGGCAGCCTGTAGTGGTGGAACTCAGTGCTGGGCATCCTGAGTGGGAGGAGGACACCAGTGCAGCCTAACAGACCCCAAAGCAAGGCAGCTAAGAGGGGAGTGAAACCCCTGCCAGGTGGGGTAGCCTAGAGAGAAGGAGGGTACGATGCTGAGCCCTGAAGGTGGGATAGCCTGAGAGGATCAGGTGGCAGGGTGGCCTCAGGGGGAGCAGGGCACAATGCTGCCTCACTCTGCCCAGGAGTTACAGTGACCTCAGTGGGACAGGGGCAATGTGGTGGTGTACTTGGTCACAGAGGCACAGCAGCCTCAAGGGGAACAGGGTAAAACCATAACCTTCCAGACCCCGCAGGCATGATGACCTTAGTAGGAGTAGACCACTATGTTGGCCCAAAATGCTCAGTCTTGAGGGGAGAGGGGCACCACAACGGGCCACTGGGTCTCAGAGGCAAAGTGGTCTGCAGGACAACACGGTACCTTGCTGA